AGGGAGCACAGGGATAACCAGCAGAGCCGGGGGGGGGACCCAAAGGCTCCTGGCAGCCGATGCCTCCAGTCCAAGCTCACAGCCTCGGTTGCCTCTGGACAAGCATCCTCCCTGCAGCTGATGCATGCAGAGAAACAGAGGCAGAGCACAGGTCAGAGCTTACTGAGCTCACCCCCTTTGGAGGTGAGCATCGCACAGGAGGGGTTCCACAACCTGGGTTTGCACAGCAGGAGACAGGCTGGCACCAGACTTGCCACCCCACAAGCTGTGGGCACCGCCAGGCTCCAGGAACTCCCTTGGTCCAGCATCTTTGGGCACCACTGACAGCTTCACCACACAGAGACAGGGAACTGCTCTAAACACAGGCAGGCTCCTCACTGCCCTGAGGTACAACCATACTTGCTGAGCACCATCGTTGGCCAGCCCTGCCCTGCTCTCCATCAGGCACGCCAGGCCACCTGTAAACCTCCCAGGCACCCCTCTGCAGGAGCCCCAAGCCCAGCCAGAACTCCTCAGACATCATCTGATCTACGGTGCCTGAAATCCCTGAGTACAGCGAAGCACACATGGGCAAACCCCACAGTCTACCCCCAGAGAGGCTGCGCATACCTGATACTCATGAGTCCCTACCCCAGGAGAGCCCAAGCACCTGCCCCTGAGGGAGCCAGGTATCTATCTGAGGGCATCAATAGCTCCCTGCTCCTGGCATATCTGAGATACTGACCACCAGCTCAAGGTCTGGTGTCCTCACATACCAGCCACCCTCTACCCCAGACACTTGTAAGACCTTCTTAAGCCTTGGCCATGCATCCTTTACATAGGGAGTACCTGTCACAAGTCTTCAGAGGCTGAAACTTGGTGTTTCCATGCAGGGGTGTGTCCCTCCAAGAGCCATTCCAGACACAAGCCATTCCTTGCCACCTACCCCAACTTGAGACACAACATAGCCTCCTGCCACTGCCTGGAACACATCGCTGCCCATAAGCAGCTACTGGCAGATCAAGGCTGGTGCTGATGAAAGGGTGGGCTGCTCATGAGCCTGAGACTACTCTGACTTGTTCACATCCCTTCTGGTTCACAGAAGTCCTCTCTATCTCCACTCAGGAGCTCACTCCACTGTACTGCTGACGAACAGCCCCACTGGCACGCCTCACCCCTGGGAAGAAGCAAACCAGAGCCGTTCGCACCATGCTGGGGGCTCTGCCCTCATCAGCACATCCCTCCTGCCACCAACCTGGGGTGCAGATGCCCCCCAGTCACAGCTTTCACACACAGGCAACCCTGGGGTGCGAGGAAGGTCTCTGCAGGCGAAGGCTCCACACAATGCCAGGAACAGTTGTCAAGGGTCACAAGTGAGAGATGGGCATGGGAGAAGGGGCAACTTCAGCAACAAACCAGTGCGTGAGCATATCTTGCCCTAACACAAGCCCCAGTGACTGTACCCCAGTCCTCAGCTCCTCGGGGAGCTGAGGCAGCCCAGTTTGTGCCCCTGGTTCCTGCGGAGGCTCTGGCACCCACACTGCTCCCGATGCTGGGAGCCACCTCCTGTGTCCTGTCCCCAGGCACACACGTAAGCTGTGATATCCTGGCAGCAGCCATAAGGACATACCTCAGCGCAGACCCCCTTCACAGCCTGCTCCGCTCAGGGGACTCTAATAAGGAGCAGAAAAAGGACGAGAGGGTCACATCATTGCACAGCCCCAGCCTCCACACCCACCCTCAGGATCCTCCTGGACCCTTCAGCCTCTGTCAGCCCTCCCCATCACCTTGCACCAAGCCCACAGCATCCCTCTAGTACCCGCTGAGTCCTGTGGCCCTGCTCCAGCCTCCTTGAGGCTGCTTGGCTGCCACTGCTGACCCTTTACTCGCTTCTCCAGCCTTACCCTAGCCTCCCTGGAGCCCACTGGCCCTTGCAGGACTCACATGGGAACCTGAAGCAAAGCTTGAAGCCACCCGGCTTGTGGCATCTTAAGCAGAGGGACCGGAGCTGTGCATCAAACAGCAACGTGCACACACACACACGGATACAGCCCAGCTGGTGCCACCAACGTGCTCATGCAACACAAACAGGCACACTCAGATGAATGCGTGTGCAGGGGACAGCAGAAGCAGCACAAGCATCACAGGTGACAAGATGCCCATGCAGGGCAGTGTGAGAGCAGAGCTTGCCAGTGCATGCTTTGGGGTTGTTCTCAGGGCTGGCCACAGACCAACTGTCCTATTTCCTATTAAAGTGCCTCATTTCTTTCTCCTTGCTACAGATAGAAAGCAAGAGACAAATCCAGAGTTACGACAGCTCAGTTTTCATCTCTGTGCAAATCAAAGCAGAGACTAGAGCTCACATCTTAGATGACCCACCAGGTCTTCCTCTCAGGACACTGGGTGCCATGGTGGACACTGATGTGGTCAGTTTGAGGTCATGTTATGCTGTCTTTCACTTCTATTCAAGAGGCAATACCACTGTCTCTGTCTCATCTGCTTTCCTACTAGACAAATGTCATGGCTCACAATCATTTCCACTTCCAGTCATGCCTTGGTCTGCACACTCCCAGGGTGGGGAGCAGATGAGTGCCGTCAGTTCTTGCTCTGACAGAAGGTGCTTTGCTGAGTCTATGGAGGGTAATTGCAGGACGGAAATAAAAGCTACCTCTCCAGGGAACAAAGCTATGGTGATTTCCTCGTGCCAATGGCAGCTTAGAAAGCACAGGATCAAGCAGGAACTCTGTGTTCAGGGTCTTTTATTCTGGTTTTCCCATTGTCTGTTTCTGGCACTAACATCCTTTTCCAGTGCTGTCCCTTTGCTTGCAGTGAGATGCTGGCATCAGAGTTCTGCTGCTAAAGGAGCATATTATGTGCCATGAACACAACCAGCTCTGCTTCAAGAGCCCGGGAACAGGGCAGGGTGTCATTCCTGAATAGCTGTGATTTGGAGCAAGCAGCAAGCATGGCCCTACAGCCTAATTCTCAGCACATGCTGGTGGTGGTTCAGAGACTTGCTGTGCCACTGCAGGCAAGCAGAAATCCTTCTTTGGGGGTGGAAATTTTGCCCACAAAGTAATGATTCTGGATGGCCCGCAGTGTGGCGAAGAGGCAGACCCTAAACCTCACCTTGGGGTCAAGGTGCTCACTTCACCTTACAAAGGATATTTGGGACTTTGGTTCCTTCCTCCACCCCAGGAACTGACAAAGTTCCCAGGTGATGAAGAGGATGGCCATGCCCTCTCCAGCATCTCATTCCTCCACAGCATCCTGGCCATGCAAAGTAAAAGCTATGTCTGTGCCCCCTCCTTCAGAGGGCCGGCCCACCCTGTTATTGCCATTTCCATGCCAGAAGGCTCTACTTCACAGCCAGGAGGGCTGTGTGATTGGTTGGGTATTCACAGTCCTCACAGTCTTCTAGCTCCCCGCTTCCTACAGCTTTGCATTCCTCTGGTATCCTCATTAGCCCCCTCCAGGCTTCTCTGCCTCAGCACATTGCATAGGAATGAATCTGGGGCAGTAGAAGTCACATCCCTTTGAGTTTTCCAGATGAAAGGGGGGCTAGGTTTGGGGTTCACTCCATGGTGCATTCGGAGAGGCACTCTGGGCTCCTGTTCTGGCTGGAGGAGGGGGAGCTCTGTCAAGCTGTGGCCCTGCTCTGGATGCTGGTGTGGCTGTTCTCATCTCCAGACATTCAGGGCACCTCTGCAGTTTGTGAAGGAGACAGTGCCAGGCTCTCTCCTCTGGGAAGAGGCACATATTGGTGCCACTGCTAATTATTCCTCTCTATATAAACCCATGCAGGGCAGGGACACATCCTGTTGCAGCCACTTGCAAGGGCTCCTGTAATAGTAGCAGCTCTTAGTGGGGGATTTTAACAGTGCACTGTCAGACAGGAGACAAAAGCAGGCAGCCTCATTCAGCAGCCACTTCCATCTCCTGCAGTGGATATGCTGAGGTTCACTCACCCACTGCAAGCCAGGTAGCTTCAAACAGAGGCTGAGAGCCAACCTCAACTGCTTATTTTGCCACCATCTGCAACATCCGCAGTCTGGTTTGGTTCTCCCTGTCTTCCCTCTGTGTCAGACATCAGCACTGTATGTGCAGTGTGCAGGGATGATGCAGCACAGGAGGCCAGATCTTGCAGGTGAGAAGACATGGTGGAGCAGCTCTGGGAGGGAAGACAGTGGGACTGCAGGGATGTAGCACAGCAGAGCATGGCAGAGGGTGCAGAGAAGCCCAGAAGGGAGGAGAGAAGCACAGCATGCTAGGAGTGACTGGAGAGGTTCAGTGGTACAGAAAAATGGGGAATATGATAGTGTAGGAGGCAAAGCAGGATGCTTTCCTGAAGCATTAGATCAGAAAGAGTCATCTTCCCTACCTGGTGGCACGAAGAACATCGGCCACTGTTTTCAACCCTGTTCAGAGCCCAAAAGCAGTGGAGCCCTGGTCAGGGGGCAGAGGGGCGGAGCAATGCCCCAGGCTGCAAACTGAGGGCTGGGGTGCAAGGTACTTCCTTCACAGTGGGTGTCTTTTAGCCAGGGAACGATGCAGTTTCCAGTACAAGCAGCTTTACCACCTCCATTGCCTTGGTGTGGACACCTGGAAACACCCTTTCTCCCACACTGAGCCCTCAGGGCT